GGAGGCGCCGCCGACACCGGGGTCTCCAGGGACACTCCCTCGGTCGACTCCGCAACTTTGTGCGGCCTCCCTGCCGGCTGGGACCGCGGTGTGTGTGAGTGTGTACGTGTGTCTCCGTGTTTCTGTCTGCTGTGTGATCGTGCTGTGTATGTGTGTGTGTTCGCGTATCTGAATGTGCGTACCCGGAGCTTGTGTCTGTGTGTCCGTGTGTGCTCTGGACCGTGTGTCGGCTGTGTGCGTGTGTCTGACTCCCCTCCCCCCCCATCCTTCCCTGGGGCCTGGGCTGCCAGACTGCGGCCCCCTCCAGCGGAGTTGTGCCCGACCCGTCCCCTGGGGCAGGGGTGGCCCGGTCCCCTCCCGCGGCCTCATCCTCTCAATCCCCACCGTTTGGGTGGCTCCAGCCTGGTACCCAGGGCGCTGAGTAACGGGGAGACGCCCCAAGCAGAGATCAGAGCCAAGGCACGTGCCGGGCCACCTCGGCCCCGGAGAGACTCCTCCTGGCCACCGGCCTCCGAGAACTGGCCTCCCCGGAGTCGAGTTCGCTGCCCCGCCGCCCCTTCGGGCCTCTGGGGCAGAGCTCCTCTTGCCCCCGCAGTCGCTCCTGCAGTTGGCTGGGAGCTGGGGCCTGGCTTCCTCTACCCCTCAACCCTTCCCCCAGCAACTTTGCCCCCCTCCCCCACCCTGAGATTAAACCGGAGGGTTACTATTCCCCCCCCACCCCCCGCCCTTGATTCCAAGAACCCTCCTGTGCTTCACCTCTTGCCGGGAGGGGGGAGACTGTCAAGAACTGAGGTTTGGGATGGAGTGAGACCCTGAGCAAGTTACTTCCATTGTTGGGGTCTCGGTTTCCTCATATGCCTTGTGGGCATCATAATAATGGTGCATAGTACTTGGTAGATTGTGAAATAAGGCTCTATCTGTGAGTGCCGGGGAACAAAAGATGGTTGTGAGGACTGTTACAAAGAGCCCCAGAAAGTGTGATTTGAAGCCAGGGGGACCTGGGTTCAAATTCTACCTCTGCCACTTGCTGTCCTTGTGACCTTGGGCAAGTCACTTCACTTCTAAAGTTCCTGGCACCCTTGTAGCTATTACCTTTGGGGCTTCATTCATAAATAAATGCTTTGGAGAAGGGGTACGATCAATCCTTGCCCTCAACCCGGGTAAAATCAGTCCGGCTCCCTGAATGCCTCCTGAGTCCCCTGCCCCACCAAGGGTGGGTGTGTGATGTCTTGCAGTCATGCAAATCTGGCAATAACGTATTCCTCTGTGTTCTAGCTCATTTTGTCCTTTTGGTTGCTAGGGTTGTGGACAACAGGAATGAGGGAGAGGCTGCCCAGTGGTTTCAGGTTGGGCAACAAAGGCTTGTCTGAGCAGCTGGCCCTTCTCCCTGGGGCCAGGGGAGGAGACTCAGCAGGAGGTGGTGAGAGTGGCCAGGGTGGGGGATGCTGAGCTCCTTGGAGGTCCCCTGCCCAACTCAAGTGTCAGAGAGAATTCAGGGCAGACACCTGCTTGCTTGAGGCATGCTGCCATCCTTCCATCTGCTAAGCTAGACTTGTGGGGTGCCTTTTCATGCCCGGCTGGCTTAGCTAGAGTTGCTAGGGGTGCCTTGTGCCCCCCTTCCTCCCTCAGCCCCCTTCTGTCCTCCAAGCTGTGCTTTCTCCCCAGAACTCTCTAATTCCACGTTTTCTCCTGGTGAACTCCTGTTCTTCCTTCAGGTATCAGCTTAGGCATCACCTTCTCCCTGAAGCCTTCCTTGGTTACTGCCCTGTTCTAGCTCCGGAAGGGAGAGTGGGAGTTGATTGGATTTTTTCATAGCATTGTAATTATTGTAATTACAGTTTACTGGTCCTTTCTCCCTTACAGACCATGAGCTCTATGAGGACAGAGACTGGGTATTTAGGTCACTTCTGAATCCTTAGTGTCAGGTACAAGTCCTGGCCCACCGTTGCTGAATAAATGTGGCAAGAAAGAATGAATGAGGTCCAGTGGGTCAAGTTCTGAGCTGGAGAAGCCAGATGGGGGCGCACTGACTCCATTGAAAGTAGGGATTAAAGAATTCGGTTTTCCCTCCAGGAATCTGGAAAATTCTGCCGGGGGAGTGGGGTGTTGTGTGTGAAAAGGCCACGTACAGAGTCATCTGGGAGCTGTGAGTTGGGGAGGTTGAGTCCCTGGTGGAGACTGAAGGGAGCGGGCTCTTGCCTGTCATCCCCTCCCCCACAGCTTCCAGCTCTGTCTCCAACCCTGTCCCCTTCCCACCACCCCAGCAGCTGGCGGGGCTTGTCCTGCCCCCAGGCTCAGCCTTTGTGCCGGAGGCCTCAGCAGGTGGTGAGAAGCATCGAGTCCCAACCGTCAGTTTGAGCTGAGTGTCCTGGGAGGAGGGAGGGCACGCCTTGCATCAGGAGGGGGAGACTCCTTTGGTTCTCTGCCCCAGATCTTGGAGTGGGCAGGTGGGATCACAACCTGTGTGCTGACTGTTTGTGAGCTCCAGGGAGGGGAGGAGGGCTTCTCCCTGTAGTGACCCCTGCAGGTGGGGTTATGGAAGGTTGGCTGAGGTGCGTGCAGGTGTGATCCTGGCATCTGGGCAGTCAGAATGGGGTGAGGGGTGTGCGTGTGTGTGTGTGTGTGTGTGTGTGTGTGATTGTAGCCTGGGGCACAGGACATATAAGTGGCTTGTCAGGGTGTCTACCCATCTGGTTACCCTGCATGGCAGGATCTGAATTTGGAATAGGGAGGTGACCAGCTGTTTGGATCCCTGGGGAGCCTGCTGCTAGGGTGTCTTGGTATCTAAGTGTCAAATACCTGGAGTTTGGGTGTAGACCTGTTTGGGTGGGTGGCATCTCAGTATCTAGGTGTGGGTGTCCCAGGACAAGGCTATGGGAGGATCAGGGTGTGCCAACCTAAGGATGGCCCTGTGTCTCTGGATCCGGAGGTGGGTGTATCCAGGTGTTCTGGCAGTCCTCAGATTAATGGGTGTTCAAGTATGGGAGTGTCTCTGTGTTGTGTCCACATGTGGGGCTATCTGAGTACTTGGGTGTCTGGGTGTGGGGTTCCCAAGTGTCTGGATATCGGAGTGTGGGGGGATCTGTGTCCGGCAACAGGGTACCCATGCATTAGAGTATCCAGGTGTGTGTGAGTCTGGGTGTGGGGTGCCCTGTGGTCAGGGTTTCTGTCTCCAGGAAAGGGGTGCACATGTGTTGGGTAGGGAGTGTCCCGGTGACTGTGTATAGCTATGTACCAGGGCCTCTGCCACTCAGCTTCTGACACCCCCTGCCCTGAGGGTTGCCTCCTGATCTCCCTTCAGACCCCAAGGCCAGGAGCCTCTGGAGAAGGCCCCACTGGTTCTGCTTCTCTAGAATGGTTCTTCTCATTCTAGAGCTGACTCTCAATTGAACTTCCTGCAAATAGAACTTCTCACAACGATGGAAATGTTTTCTACCTGCAGTTTCCAATATGGTGGCCACTTATTCACATGTGGTTATGAAATTTAAATTGGTTAAAATTCATGAAAATACAAACCAATCCCACAGTCACACTTGCCACATCTCAAGTCCTCAAGAATCTCATGTTGCTAGTGGCTATTGTATTGGTCAGTGCAGGTAGCGGATATTTGTATCAGGGCAGAAAGTCCTATGGACAGGGCTGTCCTGGAGGTGTGAGGCCTGCATACCTCAGGGGGTGGACGTGGGCTGATTGAACCATCACTCTGCAGCCATTGAAGAAGGTTTTGTCGAATCCACGTCCCCTTCCTCCCAGCCCATCATTTCTTGCCTGGACTATTGCAGTAGCCCTCCTTGGTCTCCATTCTGCTGTCAGCTCTCCAGCGCTTCCAGCACCTGTGACCTGAATGGCCTCTTGAAGGCAGACCTGGGATGCTGCCACTCCCTTGCCCTAAGCCCAAGGCTCTCCAGCACCCAGGGGACAAAACCCAAACCCTATATGATGCACCCCCCGCTTTCTGGAACAGCTTCATGTTTATGCCTCTCCTCCCCTGACCACACTCGTTCTTGTCCACCTTATGATCCAGGATCACCAGGCCAGTCCTCATCCCAGAACCTGCCAGGCCCTTTCACACCCCTCTGCCCTTGCACATGCTGTGCCTTCTGCCCAGAATGCCTCTCCCGCCCTTCTCACCTCGTGGGGGCCTGCTGACTGGCCCAGCCTGAGTCCAGCTCTGTCACTCCCCCAGGGATGCTCCCTACTTCCTCACACCCCTGCACGACTTTTCCGATTTCTCCTATAAGGCACGTAGGACAGGACAGTGTGCTGAGTAGTTTTCCATCTTCTTTGCCCACCGGGCTGGAAGCCCCCTGAAGGCTGGGCTGGGTCTTTGTCATTTCTTGTCCCCAGGGCTTTGTATATCGTTGGTGCCCACTCAGTGTTTGCATTGATGTGAACCCCTGGGTACACAGGGAAGGCTTGGAGCGGGTGGAGGGTGGAGCTGGGCTCTGGAGGGCCGTCACGGATGGGGGCCAGTATGCCCTCTGGGCTTGCTCCGGGCAGGGCGGCCATTGCCTGCAGAATGGCTGGGGGAGGACTCCTGAGGTGGACATCTCAGAAGAGGCTGTTGCTGGCTGACTCAGGAAGTCTTGGGCAGATTCCCAGGGTGCAGATCCCAGGACCTAGTGGTGGATCAGAAGGGATGTGGAGAACAGGGACTTGGAACGGTCCCTGAGGTTTTGGAGTAGAGTATAGAAGCTGGGTGGAAGGATTGGGATGGAGGAATTGGGAAAGGGTGTGGTTGGGGATATTTGATGACCAAGATCACAGTTGGGGGCAGAATAACAGCTGAGGGATGGGGGACAACTGGGGATGGGAGACAACGAGGGATGAAGATATATCTGGAGGCTGGGGACAGCTGGGGCCGAGGGGACAGGTGGTGTTGGGGGGACAGCTGAGGGTTGGGGGGCAGATGGAGGATGGAGAGAACCGGGGGGCATGGGGCAGTTGGGGATAAGGGGTGACAACTGAGGGCACCTGGGTGGCTCAGTCGGTTAAGCGTCCAACTCTTGATTTCGGCTCAGGTCAGGATCTAAGGATCGTGAGATCAAGCCCCGCGTGGGCCTCCGCACTGGGTGTGGAGCCTGCTTAAGATTCTCTCACCCTCTCCCTCTGCTTCTCCCCTCCCTTCCCCCGGTCGCACGCGTGCACTCTTTCTCTCTCCAAAAAAAAAAAAAAAAAAAGAGGTGACAACTGGGAGGTGTCGGAAAGCTATGTGGACGACAAGGATAGATGGGTCTCAGCTGAGAGAGTGGGGGATACTTTGCTCAGAATGCTTATATATGTGTGTTTACATGTGTGAACATGTGCACCCTTATGGTTGCACATGTATGTAAATATGTGTTTTACTTTCAGTATGGTTAAGAGCACGGGCTGTGGGTTCTAATCCCAGCTCCGCCACCACCAGCTGTGTAACACCTGGGCAAGTTACTCGGCCTTTCTGGGTCTTCAGTGTTCTCATCTGTGACATCGGTGTAATTATAGAACGCGCTGCATGGAGTTGCCCTGAGGATGTATTTTATACACGTAGGTATGTTGTTAGTACAGGGCCTGCCACCTAGTAAGCACTGTGTAAGTGCTAACAATTGTTAAGCCTGTGTGTGTATGTGTGCGGGCATCCTGCGTGCTCAGAAAAGTTTGTTTTTGGCTTCTGATGACGTCCAGGCCCTGGAGGGGGTGGTGGAGGGGAGGGCAGCAGTGACCAGCCAGGTTGGTTGGATCTGGCTCGCCTCTCACATCCTCGCTGTTCTTCATCCCACTTCCTGCTCACCCTGTACCAGGTTCTAGTCCAGTAGGTCTCCCTCTCCGTCTCTGCCCTGTCCTACCCCGCACCGCCCTGCCCTGGGCTGGGGGCCAGAGGATGTGCTTTGATTGCCCAAAAGCTTTTCAGCAGAATCAGAATTCATTGTCTGCCAGCCAGCACACTGGGGCCCTGCTCAGATAGAAATACCTGCACAATGTGCTCAGTTCGGGCTGCCCGTCCCATGGACAGCAATGGCTTCATCCTGTGCCCTTGGAGAGTCACTGGGGTTGAAGATGTTGGGGTTTGGGGGACGGGGTGGAGGGAAGTCCACAGGGCAGACGAGGCCTCAGCCCCCAACCCGTGGGTTAGCCAGCCCAGACCGCCAGCGCTGGAGTCACAGAGTTTTCTAGGAGTCCGGGCGTCCCCGCTGCCCAGTGCATCATAGCACATGCGACCTCCCTGCGGGGCATCGGCTGTGTGCTGTGTCTTTGCCTTATACTCCGAACTGCACTGCATCATGGCGCTGGCCCGCTGCGGGCGTACGCTCTCCGGGGTTCCTGGGCTCAGCCCCTCAGGACTGGGCCCCTGCATTGCGTCCTGGCACTACACCGAATCTTAGCCCGGCTCTGCATGACCGTGCCGGGATTCTGCCTTGCGTTGGCGGTGCAGAGCCTCCTGGGGGTCTGTGCTCTCCACCTCTGCCTCAACCCCTTGTCCTGCAAAGCCATCCCGCACGTGTCCTGCCATTTGTGTCTTTGCTGCTCTCGTCTGTGCTGGATCATTCTACCAGATGTCACCGCTGCATCGGGAAGGTGGACTCTCCCGGGTTTCTGGGTAGAGCCCCTCACACCGGCCCACTGCCTGGAGCCCACACTTGGTTCTCTATGGCCACACTGCGTGTTTGCCCCGTAGAGCATTTCTGTTCTGCGCTGCACCACCTCACTGGGCAGGGTGTCTTGCATGGGGCTTGTGGACTCTCCAGGGATTTGGGGCTAGCTCCTAGCATCCTACCACTGTGCTGTGCCAACAGATGGCATGCGACGGCCACACTGCATCTCTGCATCACGTGGCGTCTCTGCATTGCACGATTGCAGTGGGGATCTGACTGTGTTGGGCATGTGGCCTTTCCTGAGTCTCTGGGCACAGCTGCTCTGCGTTCCACCTTTGCACTCTACCCACACAGCACGCCTTTGCCTCATGCGCGCTTCGGTCCCAGTGCTTTACTGCACGGCGCTGGATAGGTGCCCTCTGGCCAAGCCCTTCACACGGCACGGCACCATGGCCACCGCCACGCTGCCCCTTACGGCGTCTCAGCCTTTCTTGGGATTCCCGCTGGGGAGTCTGCTAGTGCCCTTTCCCCCAGGTTTCTGTTGGCAGCCGCAGTTGAGCAACATCTTTGCCTCGAGCGGCCGCCCTGCATGCACCTCTGCCCCACATTGCACACTGCTCGGGGAGTCTGTACTCACACTGCAGCTTGGAGCCACTTTGTCAGGCTCTGGGACTGGCTTGGGTTTTTGCGGGTAGCACGTCTGCACCGTACCCAGCATTGCATCTGCGCATCTGTGCATGGACCGCACAGGGTTACCGCCTTGCACTGCACGTGCTCACGGTTGGGTTGTGTGCACTCTGCAGGATTTTAGGACCCCAGAGCCCTTGCATCGAATTCACGGTTCCGCACAGCATCTTCACCGCGCTCCATTTCTGTGCTGCTTTCTACCCCTACCCTGGAGTCTACACCTACTCCGCTGCTGGGGACTATATTGAGCTTGTATTCTGGACTAGGCTTCCCCACCCAGCGGTTCCTTCCGCGCCACACCACACTCTTCTCACCCCTGTGTCTCTGCACTGTTGTGCGCACCTGCGCCAGACACATGCTGGCCGTGAGAAGTCACCGAGCAGCAGCTATGTACCCGGCCCCGTGCTAGTGTCTGGAGAGCGAGAAGAACCAGTAGGGCTCGAACTTGGCGCCCTGGCCTTCTTCCGTGCACCTCTCACGGAGCACCGAGCGCCTGCCCAGTGTGCCTCTGGACGCGCGGCCCTGGCGCGCTGTGCCTCTGTGCAGCCCTGGGTCAGGCCCACGACGGATGCGGCACCTCTGCGCTGGTTCCACCATGCCGCACGGGGGGCCGGTACCAGGGTCTGTGCACGCCGTGTGCTCTGCTCCCCTCCGGTGTATGACTGCATTCCGCCTCTGTACCGTGCGGAGCTGCTACACTGTGCCCCCCCCCCCGCCCCGCACACCACACCGTGGCGCCCCACAGCCCTGTGTCTCCATGGAAGGCAACAAAGGGCAGATTTTCGCACCGTGTGGGTTTGTGCATGGCCCTCTGCCTCTCTGCTCAGCTGCACTGTGTTTTGATATCATACTGCAGGGGTCTGTGTACTCTTCGCCCACTGTACCTCTGCACAGCGCAGCTCCCCATTCAGCCCTTTGCCTCTGTCAGGAGCCGGGCTCCGCCCTGTGCCTTCCCCTTCTACCACCAACATGGCGGCCCTACCATGAACCTTGGGATTTGCGGTGCATAGTGATCAGGGAGATGGGGAGTGGGTCTGGCCTAAGTGTTCCCTGCTGTAGTTGGCTTCCTTCTATCCTCAGTGGAGGTGGAAGGATGTTGGCATCGCTGCTCCCTGTGTTGGCTCCTGGAGGGGGTACCAGCTCAGCTTTTTCTCTCTGTGGTCCTGTCTTGGGTGATCTTCCTGGCTGCAGCCATGCTGAATCCTGGGTGATTAGAAGGTGGTCATCCCTGCCCTTAAGTAATTACTCATTGGTTATGCAGGGCTCTGGAGAGCAGCTCTAGGGAACCTGGGCTGAGGTCTGGATGTATGGATCTGGGCAAGTAAAGCAGTGAAGTGGGTTGGGCCAGGTCTCTGGGTTGGAGTCATGGTGCTTGAGCCTGGGTGGGGTTGGTTGGGGTCAGACTAGTTGGGATCATGGGGCCGAAAAGTCTAGCCACTGTTGGCCACCTGCTATGCACAGGGCTTGGGGATGGGGTTTGGAGGTCAGTCTCTGACCCCAGGAATGGAGAAGGTGGGGTTAGATGGACCTGACATGGAGCTGTAGTTGGGGTGGAGAACACAGGATAGGGCTGGGTTGGGCAAGAATGTCCAGTGGTGAGGCCAGTGTTGGTTCCAGGGTTGGGCTGGGCTACCTGGCATAGGGATGTGGCTTCAGATGACGAACTAGACCAGGGCTGTCCCTGGGGTTGCATTTGGTTTCCCTGGGCCAGGGTTGGGTCTGTGCCTGTGATTGGGTATGATCCCAGCCCCCAGACTTGCAGTCTGGCAGGAGAAGTTTTGTTTCTCCTGGGGCCACCCTTGGGAACTGGATGCTCTACTAACAAACCAAAGAGAACAAAGATCTCATTGCAAACAAACTCTGTTTACCTAGGGTCCTTCCGAAAATACTGGTGGTGGCTGGTAGCCAGACTTGGCACAGAGCATCATTCCCTGTGTGGTGGGGAGGAGTCTGGTGCTCACACAGGGACACACACACACACACACACACACACACAACTCCCTGCTACCCCACCGCATATACTCACCTCCCCTGTAGGCACATGCTTATCACTGAGTATGCCCATATACCTCTGCACAGGAATCTACACCTGCACACCCCCAACTTCATAGCACACTGCCTGGGGGACCCACACTCGGAGACCCATGCTCACCCTCACATATACCTCTGCCCCATAGTCTCTCTCTGCCCTCACATTCTTCTTGCTCACAGGCATGCTCACACAAATGGAACCAGAATTCTAGAGGTGGTGGAAGTGGCCGTAGAGGTCACCTGGGTCCCCATTCTCATTTCATAGGTGAAGAAGCAGAGATTCAGAGAGGGCCAGTCGCCTGCTGCAGGTCACACAGGGAGTTAGAGGCTCAGCGGGAATTAGATCCAGGTCTCCTGCCTCCCAGCTGAGTGCTCGCGAGTCGGTACCAGGCTATCACTCTCACAACCATGTACACGCGCACACACACACACGTCAACATATGGAAACACACGCACATGGAGATGTGGAAGCCCTCGTGCTGGGGAGACCCTCTTCCCACAATCACTCTTCCTGCTGAGGTTGCTTTGCCCCTTACATCGCCCCATCCAGAGCCCAGCCGGATGTGGATAAGCCATCCTCCTGCCTTCCCAAATTGTGGCTGACGGTTGCTGAGGCAACCGCCTGCCAGATTGGGGAGATTAGCTGAGGAATGTAGCTGGGCCAGTTTGAGCTGAGGCTGGGGGAACTGGTGGGGGTCCTGGGTTGATTCAGCCCACCCTCTCTGCGAGGCCAGGGCAGAGATGGGGTACCCATGGCGGGGTCTGGTTTTCTCCCTGGCCCCAGCCTGGCTGAGACCGTGTCCCCGAGGCTTGGACTAGGCTGGGGGAAGGGAGTGTGGGGCCACGTGTGTGCGCGTGTTGTGCATCTCTCTGGGTGTGACTAGAGTGTGTGCTGTTTGCATCTAGGATGGGGACCTGAGGCTCCTTTCCTCAGCAGTTCCTGACATCTGACTGTGGACCCCATAGGGGCTTGTCCCACCGAACTCCCTCCTGATCCTGTGCTGCCCTTTGGAGAACCCACCTGCCCTCCTCCTGGCATAGAGGATGTATCCCTGTCTCACCTGAAGCCTGCTCAAACACCTACTCTGGCTTCCCAGTTCTAAATGAGGCCAAACTCACCTAGACACATAAGGCCCTCCCTCCCTGGTCTGGCCTCGGCCTTCCTTTCTCCAGCCTTCTCTCCCATTGCTTGGGTCAGTCTGCGCTCCTCTCTATGCTCTGGACTGTGTGTTGATTTCCTCCCCTCCTTTGCTTCTGCCCGGCCCTTTGTCTCAGATACCTTTCCGCCCATCTCTTCTGGCCAGAATGATAACCATCCTTCCAGGCCCTGTTCAGATGCACCCACCTCCAGAAAGTCTTTCTCCCGGACCCCTCCTTGTGGTCTTGACCCTTCTCTGCTTTGTCGTATTCCGTCACCCCCACTCAGACTGGGAGGTCCCTGAGGGCAGGGCAGAATCTTAATCATCCTTGTCCCTCTAATAGTGTCAGCCTGGGACCTGCTTCGTACTTTCAGTGGATGAATTTCCTATGAATGGAACTGAATTAACACATGTGGCCAGCGGAATACCAGGGCCTTATTTTGTCTGGACCTAATCTCCTTGAATAAAGAAAGGTGACTTAAATCCCAGCTTCTGGGACTTAGAGCGCGGCCTTGGGCAAGCCACCTCATCTCTCTGTGTCTCGGCTTCCATTTGTAAAACGGGAATAATAATAGTACCTGCCTTATGAATTACTATGGAGTTTCATGGGCATAGGTGGACATGATTGTAAGTGGCAACAGTCTCATGGTGGTGTTGATGTGTGTGTGTGTACATGTCTGTGGCCCATGTCTGTGTTGATGGAGTCAAGAGGGATTCCCTGCTACCATTCTTGCTCTGGATCCAAAGTCTGATCTAATTCCCCCCAACCAGGTCGGTGATCTCCAGCAGGAGTTGGGTCTCTAGAAGGAGCTGGGGCTTGGCTTTGGGGCTGTGGCTCGTGAGCCATCCAGACTGGAGGGGATAGGGTTTTCCTCAGGACCTAGGAGGCCTGACTTTTCCCACCCCAGAGTTGAGCTGGGGAGGACTGGGGATGGGGCTCTCACTGAGGAGTCTGGACCCAGAGATGTTATCCCCTAAGGGTTGTGGTTGGAATTGGGCTTGGCCCAGAGGCACAGGGCTGAGGATGGACATGGACCAGGGAGAGGGAGTCATTCTGCCTATGGAGGGGGAAGTTCAGCCAGGGAGGTTACCTTGGCTGAGATCAGTTGTGGGAGTCAGGGAGTGTCAGGGGACACTCTGGCCAGGGTTAGCTGGTCTGGGGGTCAGTCAGGCAATTGGGTGGTCTTCTGGTTGAAGTCAGATGGTCTGGATGAAGTTGGGACCGCTATGGCCAGGGATAATTAGCTGGGGGCTACTCTGGCTGAGGTCAGTCTGTCTGGGGGCCACTGACCTGGGGCAGTCTGGGAGTTACTTTGGCTGAGGTCACATGGTCTTGAGGGTCCATCCGACTAGGTCAGTCAGTCTGGGAGTCCTGATAGCTCACGTGGCCTGGCTGAGGATGGACAGGGGGAAGCCAAAGCACTCCCAGGCTTGCCCCAGGGCCATGGATGAGACATCCTTGGGCAGCTGCCTTGTACTTGAACCTGCCTTGTAAAGGAATAGGAAGGGCCTGAGCCCCATCTAGGCTCTAGATCCTCCGCTTCCCTTTCTGGCAATCCCTCTGCCTTAGGGAGGCGTTGGCCAAGAACCTCGGGAGCAGACTGCAGACTCAGCTCAGGCTGAATGAAGTCAGCTGTCCCCTCCTTCAGGAAGCCCTCCCTGACCTTCCCTGACCATCCCTGCTGGGCACGGCCTCCCTCTGTGCTGTACTGTGGGTCATTTTCTAGAGGGAGAGTTGAGGCCTTCCCAACACAGGTTGGGTTAAAACTTCCCTCCCACAGGCCACAGGGCATGCTGCTGACTTGGGATTTTCACACAAAGAGGCAAAGAGCGCAGCCAAGGTCCTGCTCCAGCTCTGGAGAGAGGCTTCTGTTATTTCATTGCATCCACTCGGTGCCAGCCTCATGCCCACATCTCATTGTTTTACACTCCAGTGGGGTGCAGGAAGAGGAACGGAGGACCCCCGACCGTGGCGAGCCCCCCAAAGTGGATTCCCTGCCGCAGTGCAGGTGCCTGCCTGGCACGTGGCCCTCAGCCCCCAGTTTCTTTTCCTTCTTTATTTCTTTTCCTTTCTCTTCTTGAGCCTGGGAAGGAGCTTGGTTGTGCTCCTCCTGGTGAAGGAAACACGGGCTCTGGTATCTGGCTGATGCAGGTTTGAGTCCCATCCTGTGGCTCGGGTGGGCTCTAGGGGCGCCTGTGAAGGACCATTTCCTGAGAACTTGCACGCGCGAGGCCTGGTGAGAGGTGGACCCCCGCGTTGCATCCCCGACAACCCCACGTGCAGAGGTGGGAACTGAGGCTCGGAACAGGAGAAGTGACTTGCCTGCGGTCACAAGGGTTGGCAAGTTGCAGAGTCAAGATTCAATCCCAAGTCTGTCTAATGCCAAAGCCCGCTCACGTACCCACCATGTGATACTCTGCACGGAGCCCTTCATCCCCTGGGGCCTCCGTCACATCATCTGTCAGAAGGGGTGGCTGGCAGGTACCCCGCACCGGGCCTGGCCTGATGTGCTTATCCTTCCTTGCTTCCTTATCACTTGGCCAGGCCTTTTCTCGGGTCCCCGATGCCTTGGACTGCCCATGACGGGGCCACCAGCACCGAGGTTTGGGAGTGGGTGTAGGAACCAGTTTGCGGTTTCTTCCCCCCACCAGTGGCGGTCTCAGGGCTCTGATGAGCTACTGAGAAACATGGACCTCGTTACCAGGCAAAGGACTCACATCTGTTTTTACCCTGCCTTCTTCCCTCCCTCCTCTTCTCCTTTCTAGTGTAAATATTGGGTCCAAATCATGGGACGCTGCTTCTCTAGTCGTACGTGCGGCCCGTCCATGCAGGACTGTGCTTTTGCCTGTCCCATGCCCACAGGCAGGGACCTGACTTGGGTGACTGGGTGATGAGTGAATCCCCGAAGCTCACCTGTCGGGCAGGAATCATTGGGGCTCCTGCCTTGGGAGATGAGGCCTGAATGAGATGCCACGCCGAGAGCGGGTAGCTAGCACCATGCAGGGCTTGTGGTAAGCCTGAAATAGTCAGTGGCCATTGTTGTTATTGTGAAGGAGAGACCATAAGGGCTGGCTTCGTGCATTCACGAGCCTGCCAGTCCTGAGCTGTGTGCCCTTAAGGCCTTAGTTTCCTCATCTGTAAAATGGGGTTTATTCTAGACCTGATCTCACGAGTTTTGAGGTTCAAATGATGGAGTGATAATGTTAAGTAGTTTTCCTGGGGGAGGGTCTTTGATGGGTGGTTGAGCAGTGTGGGGTCCTGGCAAGTCCTGGAGGGTGGGCAGGGTGGGGAGGTCTTGGTGTTGGGTGGAGACAGTAAAAAGAGGGGAAGGGTTGGAGGAGGGAGAGTTTTGTTGGAGGGAGGGAGCAGTGGGGAGAGGCCTAGGAGAGGGAGGGAAGGGGGGTGGGCTTGGGTGGGAGAGAGCAGCGGGGGCGCCTGGAGGGGAGCCCCAGGAGTCCTCCTGGCCAGCGGCCCTGCCCTAGCTGGGGCTAACCAGGCCCTGCCCTCACAGCCGGCTGCACCTTCGAGGAGGTGAGTGACCCAGCAGTGCCCTGTGAGTACAGCCAGGCCCAGTATGACGACTTCCAGTGGGAGCAAGTGCACGTCCACCCTGGCACCCAGTCTCCGGCGGACCTGCCCCACGGTGAGCCTACTCCCCACCACCATTCCTCTTTCTCTCCTTCCAGTTCTAGCCACCTGTTGTGTGACCTTGGGCACATTTCTTAACCTGTCTGGGTCTCATCTGCCTTTGCATCTGTAATGACATACATGATACTGTCAATGTGGGGCTCTGTGGACACTGTCCAATTGTGTATATCAGGTAGTTTTACCTGTAAAATGGGTGCGGGTTCAAGCAATCAAAGACACTTATAGCTGTAAGTTAAAACCCACTTCCCATTATCCTTAGCTCGGGGTCCACCCTACTCCCATCAGGTCTTCCTAAGTCCTCCACCTTCAGGGAGGCTCTCTTCTCCCTGAGAGCCTCTGCATCCTTGTCTCCCAGGACTTGAAGATGCTGACAGAGCAGTAACACTGGGGGCTGGATGTGTATAAAACCTTCCTTCCTCTGTCCCTTTCTTCTTGGAAGTCCTGGATCCTTCCCAGTTTCTACCTTGCTCTGCCCTGTTTCAGGATGAGGCACTTATGGTATCATGAGCACTGGAATGGGAGTCAGGAGTCTAATTACATGGACTGTATTACCGGCCTCCTACTCTGATAATGGCCCCTAGTGTATTGGTTCTGGAACCATGAAGACTGGGCTTCAAATCCTGGCTTCATCAGCTGTGTGACTTTGGGCAAATCACTTAACTTCTCTGAGCTTCCATTAACTTAACTGTAAAGTGGAGAGCATAGGAATCCATTTCATAGGGTTATTAGATAATGTCTACAAGGTGCATAACATGGGAGTGGCATGTAAGCATTCAATTAATGTTTAGTTGCTATCGTTGGAGGTATTTGAGGGGGCCCAAGTACCAGCACTCCCTTCACTGGGTGCAGAATCAACGGGGCATTCAGAAAAGGATGAGACAGATGGAGGCCAAATTATCAACTTTATTAGCTTGGGTTGGAAGACATAGCATAGTGTGAGAACAAATAGGCTTGCTGAGGGAACCCCAGAATAGACAGCTTCAGGACCTCCTCCCCTTCACCCTGTCATAGTAGTGGGCCAGGCCCTTTGCTACTCAGCTCACAGCATGGCTGCAATTGCACCTGCTGTCAAAGGTTTGGGGAGGGTCAGCAGAAGTTCTCAGTGGTGAGGCCAGGACTTGAAGCCGCCAGAGGGCCCCTGCACAGCCTGACACAGGCAGCCTTTAGGCTTATCTCCTACCACTCACCTTGCCTCCTGGAGGCCTCCCTGCCTCCCCCTTCTGTGCCTTTGCTCACACTGTGCCCTCCCCTGGGGCATTCCTCTCTGCCTTTACATAAACAGCCTTCAGCTCCTTGTTTGACCTCTGTGTTAGTAGGTATCAGAGTCTGACCTGTGTGACTGTGATCTGTAAGGTGCCCACCATGGCAGGGACCCTGTGTGGGCTCTGCCTCTCTCTCTCATAGGGAGCAAGAAATTTAGTATTTAGTGTGGGCCTTGTGCTGGATCCTAGGGCTGCAGTGGTTCGCAAGAGGGCCACAGTCTCTGCTCTCTTGGTGCTCACATTCTAGGGAAGGGAGTTGGGGATGGAGGGAGAAGGAACGAGGGAGATTCAGCAACAGAGAGGAGAAGGTAGAGCCACTGCAATGAAGGGAGAAAATGAAAGAGAAGGAGAGGGATGCAGAGTGAGGACAAAGTAGGAAAAAAGAGAGGAGAGAGGGGCAGAGGGGCAGAGGAAGCCGGAGGAAGAGGCAAGAACAAAGTGTCAGACTGAAAGGGGGAGAGACACACGTAGCTGCTCACAGGGAGAGGAGAGAGGAGGATAGAGGAGTGGGACCGGAGACACTGTTGGGGGATGTGCCCCTTTCTGGGTGGGGATGGAGACTCGGGGGTTCTGTTTACTACCCTGCCAGGACTGATCCAGGAGCCGCCTTCACAGGCCTCTGGCTCACAGAGATGAATGAGATCCCTTCCAGTGGAGTCCCTGGGGAGCCCTCCCAGAGCAGGGAGCCTGCTGGTTTGGGATCTGAATGAGCTTGTGTTGGCTGGTAGCCAAGCCTGGGAGGAGGCAGCGCTGGGTGGCTGTGGGTACCCTCTTGGCAGCTGCTGGGGCCTTCTCCCCACAAAAGGGAAGCCATAATCCTCCAGCCAGGTCCTGAGGAGTCCAGCCCACTCTCACCCTGCCAACCCCCCTCCTACTCCCCTGCCCGTGCCCAGCCCGGATCTGGATCTGGGGAAGGAGAGTGCTGCCTTTCTCCATGTTGGAAATTAAGAGAATTGTATCCCAGGCATTTAGACCTAGGGTGGGGGCTGGAAGGGAAGTTAGAGTCCTTTCATTTGGTCTCTGTTCTACACGCTCATTCAGCTTGGGTTCAGACCTGTGCTGGGGACCCAGTGGAGCCCCCGAGGCATCACAGACTGCTGGCGAGACAGACCTACACTTTATTAATGATCCAAAGGCCAGGAGAGAAGCCTGTAGAGGAGCAGGGAGGGAGGGCTTCAGAAAAGGGAGCTTTCGAGGGCCTGTCATGTGCCAGACTCTTGACTCCAAGATGAATGACCTAGTTAGTCCCTGCCTCCCAGGGCAGCTCAGAACATGGGGAAAGTCGTGGGTCAGCATGAGCTTGGACTGTGATTGTAGGTGGTGAGGGGCCATAAAAGGTTTTGAGAGAATCACTTGTGTGTGTTTTTTGCCTCTCCAATTCTCTCCTCTGGGAAACAGATGCAGGGAGGTGAAGGGACTCAACCTAGTGAGTCATAGCTGGGACCAGAACTCAGAACCCTTGACACCCAGTGGGTCCAAATGCCTGGAGTCCTTTGTTTCTGCCCCATTCCTCTGCCTACCTGACCTTGGTCCTCCCCAAGCCTCCTCAGCTCCTGCCTCTTCCTCCTCTCTTTCCAGGCTCCTACTTGATGGTCAATGCTTCCCAGCATGCTCCAGGCCAGAGGGCCCATGTCATCTTCCAGAGCCTGAGCGAGAATGATACCCACTGCATGCAGTTCAGCTACTTCCTGTATAGCCGGGATGGGCACAGCCCGGGCACCTTGGGTGTCTACGTGCGTGTCAATGGGGGTCCCCTGGGCAGTGCCGTCTGGAACATGACTGGGTCGCATGGCCGTCAGTGGCACCAGGCTGAGCTGGCTGTCAGCACCTTCTGGCCCAATGAATATCAGGTAGGCTGGGTTTGGTCTGTGGTCAGCCTGTGCTTAGGGGTGGGGGTGGAGAGGTGTCAACCTGAGGTCAGAGTAAGCTAGTGACCGAGGTTGAAATTAGTCTGTGTTCAGCATTGGGAGTCAATATGCGGTCAAGGTCAGGGGTCAGTCTGTGGTCAGCATCGGGTGATTCAGTGCCACTGCGGTCCAGATCCAGCGTCAGAGATCACTGTCAATAGAAATAGTCTGTGGCTAGAGTCAAGGGTGAGTTGGAACAGTGCTGACCTGGAAACCCTGTCTGGCTGGGAGAAGTTTTCCTGCTTGAGGGCAAGGGTCCAGAACTGGGATGGAACCTCTGGCCTTGACCTTGTTAGCTCTGGCTGCTGACACTCCCTCCCACAACTAGCCGGCTTGGTAGGGAAGGTCATTGTGAGTTGGGCTCTGACCTCGACTGGTTGAGGAGCCTGGACTGGAGCAGAGCTAAAGGGATCCCTTGTGGGCACCCCCCAGGTAGGGCTGGAGGGATATGACAGGGACCCTCCCGCCTCCCCCAGGTGCTGTTTGAGGCCCTCACCTCCCCAGACGGCAGGGGCTACATGGGCCTCGATGACGTCCTGCTTCTCAGCTACCCCTGCGGTGAGTCCCAGTCCCCCAGGGTGCAGGGTGAGGGGTGTGGTGGCCGGGGCTCCTGCCTGTGGGGGGCATAGGCCCAGCTCACACGCAGGCTCTATTCCTCGCAGCGAAGGCCCCGCACTTCTCCCGCCTGGGCGATGTGGAGGTCAATGCTGGCCAGAACGCTTCCTTCCAGTGCATGGCCGCGGGCAGAGCAGTAGAGGCCGAGCGCTTTCTCCTGCAGGTGAGGGGGGTAGGGACCTTATCAGTGTGAGGGAGACTTCTTCTGGGACCTGGGTTTTCCTTGCGGGGTGCTGAGTCGCTCCTGCATTTTCCAGCACCTCTACTCATGCCTCCCTGCCCTCACCTAGGCTCTGCTCTGCCCTCTTGGGTGCTCTTATACCCCCAGGACAGAGGGGGGGCTCCAGGATCCCCAGACCACCCTCCATCAGAGGCAGAGACCACATTCCCTTAATCAGCTTCTTATCCCACACCTTCCAGTGGCGGAGCTAGTTCCAGGAACCCCATATGTTCCCTGTGTACTAGGGACAGCTAAATGGGGCCAGGACATAGACTACTCCCCTCGCCCCGGTCAGAGCGAGATCGCGACCCTCCCTCTCGGGCGCTCCTGACCCTGTCCACCTTACCCCTGAGCAGCGCCAGAGCGGGGCGCTGGTGCCCGCCGCCGCCGTGCGGCACATCAGCCACCGGCGCTTCCTAGCTACCTTCCTGCTGGCCTCCGTGAGCCGCTCGGAGCAGGACCTGTACCGTTGCGTGTCCCAGGCCCCGCGAGGGGCGGGCGTCTCCAACTTCGCGGAGCTCATCGTCAAGGGTCAGCCGGCTTACGCTCGCGTAGGGGGGGTGGGTGCTGGGGCTGCCCCCTCCGAGGGATGGGGCTGGCGGGGGGGGCATGGCCGGATAGACGGGCGTGGCCCGCGGAAAGGTGGGGCCGGCAGGGTGTGACCGGGGGCGGGGCCTGTGGAAGGGGCAGTTTCTCCCCTGGAAGGAGGTCTGATCGAGGGGGCGGGGTCTGAGAGGCCGGTGGGCGGGGAGACCCTGTTAGCGTGTGAGCCACGCGAGGCGGGGTCTGGCTCTGGGGAGCTGGGGTTGAGCCAAGCCTCCTGCGGTCAGCCCCTGAACGCTAGAACTCGGGGATTCAGAGGGGAGTGAGGGACAGGGTGTAGGCTTAGGGGTGAGTGTGGGATCAGCCTTTGGAGCGGGTGCCCCTTAGGGCCTGAGGATTTAATGGGCGCGGGCAAGAAAGTCTAGTTGAGGGTCTGGGGGCTTCATCAGGGTCCTGGGAGGACAGGGAGGGCTACTGGGGATTCGGATGTGCTGCCATCCAGGCAGGGTCTCACAGCGCATCCTTCGGCTCCGCCTCTCCCTCACGCCCTCGCAGAGCCCCCCACCCCCATTGCGCCCCCGCAGCTGCTGCGCGCAGGGCCCACCTACCTCATCATCCAGCTCAACACCAACTCCATCATTGGCGACGGGCCGATTGTGCGCAAGGAGATTGAGTACCGCATGTCCCGCGGCCCGTGGGCCGAGGTGCATGCCGTCAGCCTGCAGACCTACAAGCTGTGGCACCTTGACCCGGACACGGAGTACGAGATCAGCGTGCTGCTCACGCGCCCGGGTGACGGCGGCACTGGCCGCCCCGGGCCGCCCCTCATCAGCCGAACCAAGTGCGCAGGTGGGTACCTCCTGGCCCAACTCCGTCCTTGGGACACCTGGGTATGGGCTCAGGGCTACCCAGGGATGGACCAAGGGGGCACATTACGAGAGGTAATATGGCCTGCCCTTGTGCCTCTAAAACATTATAAAACGTCGTGATTTCCCCCCAATCCTTGTTATGGTAAAGGTAATGATAGCTAATATTTTGTGCCAGACTCACATATGTATATAAACACATACGCACACACACAGACATTGATTTAAAACTCCCAACACTATGATCTAGGTACTCTTGTCATACCCATTCTACAGATGAGGTGTCTGAAGTACAGAGATGTTAAGTGACTGGCACAAGGTCACATAGCTAATAAGTGGCGGAGTTGGCATTGGAATCCTTGACTGCCTGGCTCCAGAATTTGTGTTCTTAATTCTACATTAAAGCATTTAGATAAATGACTATATGCCATAAAATAAAAGTGTGTTATTAAATTTCAGCTGGATTTTCTTGGGTCTTTTGAGCCTGAGGTCTGCTCTTCTTTGTTCAAAACGGTATAAGCAGCTGTTAGGAGCTATGGCACTCCTGCATCAAAGGACACTCTTGTTTAACCTAAAGAGAAATTGAGAATAGAACAGAACGGGTTTCAATGTATTTCCTTAATTGGAATCTTTATTGAGATAATTATAAATTCACATGCAGTTGTAAGAAAAACTGCAGGGGGCCTGGCTGGCTCAGTTGGTAGAGTATGTGACTTGTGACCTCGGAGTTGTGAGTTCAAGCTGCAAGTTGGGTATAGAGAGTACTTAAAAAAAAAAAAGAAAAAAAAAGAAAGCAAAAGATACAGAGATTGCCCACACACTTTACCCTGTTTCCCGCAATGGGAACATTTTGCAAACCTGTAGTATAATATCACAGCCAAGGTATTGACATTTATATAATCCGCAGATCTTCAGAGTTCCCCAATTTCACTTGTCCCCATTTGTGTGTGTGCGTGTGTGCGTGTGTGTATTTAGTGCTATATAGTTTATCACATGTATAGGTTTGCATGTTTATCGCCATAGTCAAGATACTGTTCAGTCAATTTAAGACTCCTTTGTGTGGCTCTTTATATCTATTTTCACCTTCCCTTCCTCCCACCTCAGCTCCTGGTAACCAGTAATCTGCCCGTCATTTCTAAAATTTTGCCATTTCAAAAATGTTATATAAATATGAAATCATATAGTATATAACCTTTTGAAATTGGTTTTTAAAAATTTGGTAACAGGTTTATTGAGATATAATTCACATCTCATAAATTCACTCATTAGAGTGTACAATTCAGTGATTTATAGCATATTCAGAGTTGTGCATCCATCACCACAATCCGTTTTAGAGCATTTTCATCACCCCAGAAGGAAAGTTTGTACTCTTTAGCAGTCTACTCCTCCCCACATTTCCTCCTACCACCTCCAGCTCTAGGCAACCATTAATCTACTTCCTGTCTCTGTAGATTTGCCTTTTTCTGGACATTTCATATAAATGGAATCATATGAGGCATAGTCTTTGTGATCAGCTTCTTTCACTTAGCTCATGTTTTCAAGGTTTATCCATGTTGTAGCATGTTTTTTCCTTTATCTTTTTTTATTGCCGAACAATGTTGCATTGTATGCAGCTGTACCATTTTTTTACATTCCCAACAGCAGTGTATGAAGGTTCTGATTTCTCTGCATTCTCACCAACAGTGGTTATTATCTGTTTTTTGATTATAACCCTCATAGTGGTGTGAAATGGTATCTCAGTGGGTTTTTGACTTGCATTTCACTGATGGTTAATGATATTGAGCAATTTTTCATGTACTCATTGGCCATTTGTATGTCTTCTATGTAGAAATATCTACTCAGAGTTTTTACCCATTTTTAAGTTGGGTTATTTGTTTTTGTATTATTGAATTGTAAGAATTCTTTATGTATTATGGGTGCTAGACCCTTATCAGATATATTTGCGAACATTTTCTTTGATTCTGTGGGTTGTCTCTTAATTTTCTAAATGGTGTTGTTTGTAGACAATAGTTTTTCATTTTGAGGAAGTCCAATTTGTCTGTTTTTCTTTTGTTGTTTGTGATTTTGATGTCCTATTAAGAAACCATTGCCCAATCCAAAGTCACAAAGATTTACCCCTATTTTTTCTAAGACTTTTATAGTTTTAATTTTTACATTTAGGCCCTTGATCTGTTTTGAGTTAGTGTTTGCATATGTTGTGAGGTAGGGGACCAACTCCATTCTTTTGCATGTGGATGTCCAGTTGTCCCAGCACCATTTGTTGAAAAGAGTATTCTTTTCCCATTGAATTGTCTTGGCACTAAGATTGGCTGTTTTGCTCAGCATAATTCCCTGGAGACTCATCCAAGTTGTTATAGTACATCAGTCATTTGTTTCTTTTTATTGCTGAGTAGCATTCCATGGTGTGGATACACTGTAGTTTGTTTTAACAGGTGAATGGTTATTCACCTGTTGAGGGACATCTGGACTGGCTCCTATTTTGGGCTCTTATAAGTAAAGCTGCTGTGAACATTTGTGTATAGATTTTTGCACGAACATGCGTTTTCATTTTTCTGGGATAAGTGCCCAAGGGTGTGACTGATGAGTTGTATGATAATCGCATATTTAGTTTTATCAGAAACTGCCAGAATGGCTGTTTTGTTTTACATTCTCACCAGCAATGTATGAGTGATCCAGTTTTCTTTATCCTTGTCCACATTTGGAATTGTCATTATTTTTTTTTAACTATTCTGAGAGGTGTGTGGTGATATCCCATCTTGGTCTTAATTTGCATTTCCTTAATGCGTAATGTTGAACAGCTGTCCATGTGCTATTTGCCGTCTGTCATCCTCTTAGGTGAACTGTTCATGTCTTTGCCCATTTTCTAATTGGATTATTCGTTCTTTCCTTCTGAGTTTTGAGAGTTCTTTACACGTTTTCTAGATATTAGTCCTTTGTTCTGTATGCAGTGTATAAATATTTTCTTCTTGCTTTAGCTCATCTTTTCATACTCTTCACCTGAGCTTTTACAGAGCAACCATTTTTAATTTTGATGAGGGCCAGTTTGTCAACATTTCCTTTTATGAGTTGTGTTTTGGTGTCAAGTTTAAGACCTCCTTGCCTCGCCTTAGATCTCAAAGATTTTCTCCTGTTTTTTTTTTTTTTTCCTTCCTAAAAGTGTTCTATTTTTACTCTACATTTGAGTCCAATGATCCGTTTTGAGTTAATTTTTGGTTAGGATACAAGGTTTTTATTATTTTTGCCAGTCTATATTCTTAAGTGTTTTTAAAAGCTGATCTGGGGAGCCATCTAAAATCCAGTTGAATGTCCCATTTGAAGAGACTCTGGGTGGTGGGTTGGAGTGTTCCAGTGGGAATTACTTTCTAGGTGAGGAATCTGGGTCAGGTTACTTAACCTCTTGGAGCTTTCGTCTGGTTGTTTTACAGGATGAGAAGAATACGAATCTTTACCATGCAGGGTTGGTGTTAAGGTTCATTCAACAAATGCTTATTGTTAGGTGTCAGGCAATATTGTAGTTGCTAGGAATATAGGACTGTGGCCGCTGTGGCCGCGACAGACCAAGGCCATTGGCATATGAGTTCCCCCTGCCCTGCAGGAACTCTGCATGGAACTCACATGCTGGCAGGAGGAGACAGTAAAACAAGTGGGATATATAGTTTGTCAGATGATGATAAGCTCATAAGCGCTGTGAAGAATAAAGCAGGGCGGGCCGGGGTTGGAGGGGGTGGGTTGGGCATGGGGGTAGGAAGATTGCTATTTAAAAAAAATGCTCAAGGGACCATTTTACTGAGAAGGTGACTTTTGAGCAAGACCTGAAGGAGGCGAAGGACTGAGCCACAAAGGAAGCTGGAGAAATTGCTGGGGGGAAAACAGGGTGACATCACCTACTTTGTTTAAAAGGATGACTCTGGCCCTTTTGCGAAGTATAGATTCTAGGAGGGCGAGGGGCCAAGAAGGGCAGACCAGTGAGGAGGCTGCTATAACTGGGCGGCTGCAAGTGGAGGCTGTGAAGGTCGAGCTGACTGCATTTGCCAATGGACCGCGTATTGCACAGGCGAGAGGGAAGTAGAGAGAAGTCAGGGATGGCTCCAAGGTGTTTTGCTTGAGCAGCTGGAAGGTTGAAGTTGTCATTTACTGGAAAGAAGCAGACCGCAGAGGGGCAGGTGTGACAGGGTGCCGTAGATCAGGAGTTCTGTGCTGGAAAAGTTGACTTTGAGATGCCTATTAGACGTTCAAGTGGAGATATCTATCAGGCAGATGGATTTACGAGTGGAGCTCAGGGAAGAGGTTCAGGCTGCAGATAGAAATTTGAAAGTCAGCAGCATAGACATAGATGGCATTTAAAGCCACGAGACTGGATGAGATCTTTTACCCTGGTGTTTCTCGACTGGGGGTGATTTTGTCTCCCAGGAGACATTTGCAGTGTCTGGAGACATGGGTTATTACAACCGGGGGTGGAGTGATAATGGCATCTGAAGGGTAGAGGAAGCCAGGGAAACTGCCGAACGTCCTATGGTGCACAAACAGCCCCCACAACAGAGAATTATCTAGTACAAAGTGTCAGGAGTGCCAGGGTTGAGAACCCCGGATTCAGTCCTGAGATTTTAGGGAATAAGTGAGCGTGGAAAAGAGAGGAGGTGTGAGGCCTGCACCCTCGGGCCGTCCAGTGTTTCGGGTGAAATGCAAATAATGGCCATAAATGTACCAAATACGTGTGAAGATGGGGCCTGACATACAGTAAGCACACAGCAAATGACAGCTGTTATTGTTACAGTGTTTTTAACTCTTCAAAGCCAGTTCTGCTCCGGTATTCAGAATAAAAGAAATCAGAGCTGGCGGTCCACAGACAATCTCTCTTCTCCTCTCCTGAGTATACAGATGGGGGAATGAAACCCAGAGAGGGGAAGGCACTTGCCTGGGATGGTACAGTGGGCCCCAGCCGCAGGCTGCGTGGTGACAGTGGTCACTAACTCCCATTTTACAGACGAGTAAACTGAGTTTTAGAGAGTTAGTCACTTGCCCAGATCCACCCAGTGAGTCCATAGCAGTCAGAACCAAAGTCTGACTCTCCTGATTTCCAGGGAAGTATTTGAAAACCAGAGCAGACACGGGCACAGCAGGTGCCATCATGGGCTGACGTGGCCACGTTGTGCCAGGCACTGCTGAACACTTCACACGGGCTGGCGAGGACAGAAGCTGGGGCCCGGGACCAGACAGACAAAACCTTAATGACTCCTCCTGCCCGTCCTAATGACGTGCTTCTCTTGGTTCGGTGATGTACCTCCCGCCCCCTTCCCCAGCACCCTGCCTAGGCACCTTGGCCAGCAGTTGGTCAGTTGTGTTGTCCTCTCCCCCATCTCCCTGAAACTCCCTTCCTGCAATATGATTTACTGTAAAAACAGTAATATAATGTCAGGAGAAGGCATTTAAAAAAAATCACTCTAAACCTTGCCATCCTCGCCCAGTTTTTCAGTCTTCTTCAAATCTCTGCCCATATGCCTTCAGTACAGTTTTACACCCTTGTCATTGGGATGTAGAAAGCATTCTGTAGTCTGCTTCCTCTGCTTTGTGGCGTCCCATGTGTGGTGGTGTTTATAATTATGTTTATTGGCTTTTAGAAGTCCAGGGAGTGTCTCCATATTGCTTAACTATTATGTTTCCAGATCCTTATTATTATAAGTAAGACTACACTGAACAATTTCGTGCTTACAGTGTTTTTTCTCCCCGCTCTGAGTAGTTTCTGGAGGATAGTCAGGAGCGGCTTAAGAAAGGGCTTTGAAATATATTGCTTTAACAAATAGTTGTATAGAATTTGCACTTTGGAGACCCCATTGGATTTGAAATTTGGAGCACCAGACCCCACTCCAAAGCCCCTTCCAGGAGAAACAGTTGAACGGTTCAGGGTTATTGCATCCTATTAGAATTAAGAAAACACATGTTGGTGTAATTTAACAGGTGTTAACTGTGAGCCTCCTTGTTCGTCTCCCCGCTCCCCCTCCCCCACGCATCTGACCTTTGATCTCTGAGTGGCCTGCAGCCTTATGGAATTTAGAGGGATGGGGCTTCGAGGTCCCCAAGTTCTGTTTTGCCAGTGTGTGCTGGCAGCTGAAGAGAGTATGTCTGGGTGCCAGATGGTTTTTGGAAACAGAGAGACTCATGAATTCACACCCTTCAATCAACAGATCAGTATGTAGTCAACAAACTATTTGAGCCCCTGGATTTGCCCAGATTTGATCAGTGTGGCGGGGGGCGGGGAGAGAAGAGGAAAGAGCTTTCTTTTCAAAGACCCCTCAATCCAGTGAGGTCGGTGGGGGCTAACATGTCTTTTAGAGTGAGGTACCCAAGTATGAAGGTGGAAATCTCATCCTCCAGGTTAGAGGTTTGTTATTTTGTGCCATACGAAGTGGTTTTTACCCAAACCTGAGTAGGTTGCCAGTATTTAAAAATCTGGAGGTTTCACATAAAAATCTGAATTTCTGGCTTCTCTTAAAAAAATGGGAGGATCTCGGGGCACCCGGCTGGCTCAGTCGGTGAGCGTGCAACTCCTGATCCCAGGTTGCGGGTTTGAGCCCCACGCTGGGTGTAGAGATTACTTTAAAAATAGAATCTTTAAAAAAAAAAGGGGGGCGGGGAGGATCTGGCCATCCCGAGTCTGTAGTTGTTCATGAGAACATTGCCTCGAGCTGAGTAGCAGCTGTCCCCTTTGGATGGGACACTTGCCGTCCTGTTTGTCATAGTCCCAGCCCAGCCTGTGTCACCAGTTTACAGGTAACTTCTCATGTCTTTCTCTAAATGCTGCAGGAGGGCAAAGGTGGCAGTGCATGTTGGCCAACCCGGCAAGGATGCAAAGGGGCTTGTGTCCCCAGGGGCGGGGATGTGTGCAGAGCTGCCGGGAGCAAATAAAGCACTGGGGCTTTGGCTCCCTAGACCCTCTGGGACAGACAGTACCCATAGGGCAGCCAGGACCAGAGCCTGGAAGTCAGGGAATAAAGCAAGGATCTCTGAACAAGATGGCAGGGCGAGCGCACATGAAATCCGCCCCCATCCACTCCAAACTCCTAAGAATTCGGGGTAAAACAAAACCACATAGAAAAACAGGAGGAAAATCTCTGGGGGCCAGGAACAGGCGAGGAAACAAGCGTGATAAGTGGGCTTGCAGCCAGCAGCCCTCGGATTGCAGTGAGCAGTGGGACCAGACCCTCAGCGTTCTTGTCGGGTGGGGATCGGGTCTGCCTTGCTTGTGGGGAGAAGGGAGCCAGACTGTGCAAGAAGTCAAGAGGTGGGCCTTGCTCCTAGCAGGTGCTGACATATTTCTTTGGTGGCCTGATATATGACTGGAGGCTGCCCCTTGCCCGTGGCTCAGGGAAGAAAGGACAGCTCCGGTGGAAATGAACTTTGTATTGTGCTGTACTTGGGCCGGCATCGTACTCCTGAGTCAAGAGCATGGTGTTTCCCTTTGCATCTTCTTTGTAAAGAGCATCCTGAGCAAGTGAATCCTGTAGAAATGATAGTAGGGTCATACTTAATCATCTCAAGAGGCAAGCAGCAGTGTTTTCTCATCTGCTCACTAAGGCGTGTCCTGAGAATCTCTAACTGGGGACGCTTCGCAGGTGCTCATGGAACTTGAGGGAATGAAACTGCATCTCACAGAGTTAGGGTGCAAGAAAGAGAAGATTGTCAGTAATCTTGGCTTGTTCCATCATTTCCTTGATGAGGAAATTGAGGCCCAGAGATTGAAGATCATGCAGCTGGTCAGTGCAGATGGAGGACTAGAGGCTGAGCACCTGGGCTCCATCCTGCCTTTGCTTCAGAAGCCTTGGATTCTTTACGTTTTATAAGTGGCGTCACAGATTCATCAAGAGGCTGTAAAGCGCAGGAACATGCTCCTCCTTCGTGTTGGGGGAGCTGTCCCTCCTGAGGCATTGGTGTGATTTTGTGGTTGTTGCTGCTGGACACTGACTTCCTCATGGGGAGGCAGGTGGTGGTTAAGAGTCTGGATTTTGGAGCCAGCCTGTCCAAGTTTGCATCCCAGCTTCCCTATGTGACTCTCTGTGTCACTGACTCTGGGCAACTTACTTAATCTCTCTGTGCCTCCATTTCTGTATCTATATGACAGGGCTAGAAATGGCACGTGTCTATTGGATTACAGAGTGGATTCAATGAGATAATGTATTTTCAAGCCTCCAGAGCAAGGCCTGGCACATGTAAAGCACCCACTACATGTTAACTGCCGTCATTGTTGTTGTTGTTATTATCATTATTATTTTAAGATTTATTTATCTTTTTGAGAGTGAGAGCGAGAGAGTGAGTGTGTGTAAGGGGGAGGGGCAGAGGGAGAGGGAGAGAGAGAGAATCTCAAGTGGGGGCTCAATCTCATGACCCTGAGATCACAACCTGAAATCACAAGCTGAAATCAGGAGTCAGACCCTTAACTGACTGAGCCACCCAGGCGCCCCCTGCTATTATTGTTATTGTCCTTCTATAACAGATTGTATTTCCCTTTTTGCTTTGGCAGCCAGGGAACTCACCACCCAGTCTGAACCTTATCTTTAGACCTGCATGGGACGTAATGGCATACATTTCTGTTTCCCTAACATTCTCTGGCATTATTTATTTGGTTGTCATTTCCCCCATCATCCTGATTTCTACATCTTATTGTATTATATATATATATTACTATAAGCTGTTTTAGAAGAAGTTAGAATTAATAAATTAAGAAAAATAGAGCATTTGGTCATTTCAGACTGTTCCAATGCCCTCCAGGACGATCTTGAAATAGGAGGTGAATTGTGTTATTAAAAAAAAAATTGTAGCTAACACTTTTGAGGGCCTGTTGTGTATCAGCCATTGTCATATGTGCTTTGCACACATTACCTTTAACTTCACAGCCATCCTGTGAGGTAGGGCATATTATCCCATTTTGTGGTAGAGGACGCTAAGGCTCGAGGGGCGAAGGGACACAGCCAGTGGTTGCCAGCAGCAAGGGGCAGAGCTCGGATTCAGATGTGGCCCCGTCTAACTCCAGCGCGCACACTTCTATTCCCTGTTCGACGTTCTAGTTGGTCTCTTGAACTCTTGAGGACAAAGGAGGGATGATTTCAGCAGCTGACTGATATTTTCTCTCCTGTCCCACTTCTCTTCCTATTTCTTCTGCCTTCTGCTCTGTGCTTCCTGGGTTCCCCAGAACCCATGAGGGCCCCCAAAGGCCTGGCTTTCGCTGAGATCCAGGCCCGCCAGCTGACTCTGCAGTGGGAACCTCTGGGCTACAACGTGACACGTTGCCACACGTATGCGGTGTCCCTGTGTTATCATTACACGCTGGGCGGCAGCCACAACCAGACCGTCCGGGAGTGTGTGAAGATGGAACGGGGCGTCAGCCGCTACACCATCAAGAACCTGCTGCCCTACCGGAATGTTCACGTGCGGCTCATCCTCACTAACCCCGAGGGGCGCAAGGAGGGCAAGGAGGTCACTTTCCAGACAGATGAGGACGGTAAGAGTCCAAGCCCTGGCTCCTGGCATACTCAGTGCCTCCCAGAGGCACCCTATGTGAGGCTGAAATGTTTTTAAAAAATATTTTATTTATTTTTTTGAGAGAGAAAGTGGGG